AACCAAGAGAAACTAAAGAAACTGGATAATCTTTCTTTGTATCCATTATGTTGTTTTTATTTAAAAAAATAGAAAAAAGTTTTTAATATATATTCAATTTAAAATTTTTAAAAAATAGAAGGGTTACTTTGAAAAGTTAAGTTATAAATTTTGAAAAGTTAAGTTTTAAATTTTATGTCGCGTAATTATGCTTAATCACGTGAGAGGGACAGTCATATTCCAAAAATTCTAAAAAATTATATTGTTTATTATCGCCACAAAATTATAATAATGATCGGCAAAATTTTGCAGTTATCTCACGGAGCACGAATTAATGTATTTATACTTATATATATTAGCTTAGTGTTTTATGTATATAAATTCTCTTTGGGAAATTCATGTGACAAAAGATCTGCAACATAAAGAAAAAAATTTTTTATTCTTTTTTGTGTGTAACGCGTCAATTTTAGTAAGTTCGGTAAACTTGTGCAGCTTTTGAAGCTCAAATCCTCCACAACAACACGAGATGAAATCGTAACGATTTATTTTGGGGTGTTGCATTTCCACTTTTGGAGGATTTGAAGAACCTACACGACCAATAAAAAGTTGCGGGACTAAGTGACTTGCACTATAACTAAAATTTTTTTCTGTTATAAAAAAACATTTTCTCTCCCAATACGAAAATAATCTTTGAGACTCAGCCGATTGATTTATAAATAAAAATTCGGTTGTTGTCCTTGCGGTTTTCGTAAAAAAGACTTTGCTGATCATCAAATTGACCAATAAGAATGCAAGATCGTGATCAAAAAATTATTTTGGTTTACCATTAAAGAATATTCTTACTCTGACCGTTTAGTATCAAGAGTGATAATAGTAATAATAATAGTATTTTCCGTTTTTAAATACACATTCCCATGATTTCTGCAGAATCCCACCATTTGAATACATTAATGTTTTACTGTCTTATCTAAATATCTATCAATTTCATCCAAATGTTTACCAATGTTTGAGTTTTTGTGTTTTTGTATCCTAAGCATTGCATTAAAAAGTAATCTTGCTGTAATGAGTTGGATTCATCGTTAAGATTTTGAGCATCTTGAACTTCTGGTAGGGCTTCATTTAAAGAAATACTTTCAAGCAATGCTCCTTTTTTTACTTTTTCCTCATAAATTATTTATTTTTTTGAAAAACAGTATTTAAAGATGATGGATTTGATGATGATGTTTCTAGGCTTAGAGTATGACTACAAATATAACAATCATGATTGTTGTGCTCTTTTTAATTCCAGATCAATAGCATAGTTTAAATAAGTGAGTTGATCTGATAAATAAAGGGAAAAACAGATTTATCTCTAGTTCAGGGTTTATTCAAATGATTGATTGATTTCCCTGCAAAAATAATCTAGAAACCTGTTGTATTAAAGCTTCTATGCTATTATTGGTTTAATGGATTAAATTGAATACAAATGTGTCCAGAGTCACATTGCCACATTTTTTCTGTCTAATAATATTCTAAGGAGACAAGTTATCATCAACACTTGAGTTAACATTTACAAATTGAAGCTGATTATATCTGACATTTTAATTAATTATGACAAAATAATTTCTTGCTACAAAACATTTCGTCAGGTATCATTTAATCATGACATCATCAATAGTGTATTTTTGACATTTAACATTAGTAATTGTCAATTAGTCATAATTTATCATTTTATTTTATCAAAATCATGTAAAGAGTCATGTCAGTTTTTAGGTCAATACCTGAAGTCTTAGTATTTTTCCCTGACCAGAGTGTCATGATAATATGTTCATTAGCTGGCAAACCAATAGCCAATTCTCTAAAGTGATTATTACTGACTTCAAAGCAATAAAATGTGAAATAAGAACAAATGAACCAAACAGCAAAAAGCATTTGATCTCCCATAACATCCCTTTGATGGTTTTCATATGCAGCTGCCAAAAGTTCTGTAGCAATCTGCAGTTCACCACAACCATAGTCAACTGATATATTATTTAAAATGTTTATCCTAAAACTACAATGTTATATATAATAAAGTTAAATTGACATGAAATGTAGTTAAAACTGCAAATAATTGATTCATAGATCATACTGCTACAATGATAACATTAATACCAAATGATGTGATAGTGAATTCTCGAACAGCTTTGACTTTATGTTCATTAATTTTAAAAGAAAGTAATGGGTGTTGACTATGATAGAGAGCAATGGTTAGCAAACATTATTATGCATAATTTTTGGGAGATAAAAGAAGGATAACTTATGAAAGGTTTAGTGGCCATACTATTGCCATACTAGTCAAAATTGTCATAACAATGGTATCAGTTTTTGTCTCAGAGGTGCCTGAAATAACATCTTCATTTTTTACCATTTTTGACATTTAAAAGAAGAAGGATTTGGGATCATTAGGCAGTTCAAGATCATCAATCTCATTTATGTCAATTTCAAAATCCTTTTTTGAGATGTTAGGAAGAAGTAATTGGATAGGAATTTCTGTATCTACAAAAGGTAATGAGTATGCATGTGTTATCAATAAAATTATGGTATTAGGATAAGATGCTAACCATTCATGTCACCAAGACCAGGAATCACTCTGTTTGATCTTCTGAGCCAGCAAATTTCATATTCAAAGCTTTCATATCTTCAAGATTAAATGACGAAGCAGACTTTGACATAGAGACACCAGATTTATGCATTGCAGCATAATTTTGCATAAATTATTGGGGTATTTGATATTGGTTGTTTGCCAAAATCTAATTAATAAATCTATGTGTGGATTTTTTCATGGTTGCCCCCTTTTTTCTTGTATGACAAAAAACTTGTTTATTTATTATTATTATTGTTATTTCTCCTGCAAAAAAATTAAATTGTTTCAATTGAAAACTATATGTAGGGTCACAAAGTCAAAAATTATATAATTAAAGATCACATTGAAGAATTTCAGGAGGGTATCAATTACAACAGACGTATGGTCCTTTAGTTTATCAAAAAAAGGTCTCAAAACAGATAATGAACCTGCTATGGTTTTATATGTAAAGGTCCTCAAACAAAATCCTGAGGTAATTATAGATGTGCAAATTGATTTAATAAGAAATTTGATATTTAAAATTAAAAGTTCAGTGATGATTACCTGAAACCAGAAACTGATATAAAAACAGGCGGAACAGCAAATAGAGATGGCATTACATTTGTTGGGAACTGAAGAAGCATCCATTCAATCTTTTACCTGATGCAAATGGTGTAATTGATCTATAAAACTTTATTTCATTTTAATTAAGATATAATCTAATTAAAGTAAATATATACAAGATACATTTGTTCTTTGGAACCTTTGGAAAAGGCAGCTAAGTCTCTTTTCAGAATCATCTTATCCTACAATGACTGATGTTCAGTTTATGATTTTAGAAATACATGATGATGAATGAATTCAGTCAATATGAATTAGCTTCTTAATAAATGCAAAACTAGATGATTATTGGAATATAATTGACTTGGCGACAACTTTTCTTATAACATTGAATCTTTGTACAAAATCAGCACTTTTTAAATTTGGCATTGAGCTTGATTCCGCACTTAATTGTTTTCACAATCAATTTAAAAAATATATGCCTCGTTGTTCTTCAAACCAGTAACAAAATTTATCTTTTGATAAAATTATTTTAGAGAATTAAAGAGACGTTGCTTAATGTATGGTGAAAATCAATATCAGCAACTAATAGTAATGATGGTGAAGTTGAATGATATTTATCTTTCCAAGTAATGGAAATATTTTCCATTAGTTTGTAAAAAGCTCATGAACATGAATTTCCAATTAGCAAAAGATTATTTAACAATCCAGACCACACAGGTATTCTATATGAACAAACATTTTCAGTAGCAGGAAATACTATCACTCGAACAAGAAACAGGTTAAATCTTGAAGCAATGCAAGCTATACTTTGTCTAAAAAGTTGTATAGAAAATGGCATCCTAGACAATAAGATTAATGTTTGATTTTTTATAATTGAAAAATTTAATTATTTTTTGTAACTGATAAAGATTTTATTATTTAGTATTACAATTGCTTTTAATTTGAAAATATCAGAAATACAAATTCATGCAAAATTATGATATAAATATATAAACAATTAATTATTAAAGATATTAAAGAAAGATTATTTTGGTCTCATTGCTTTATTGATTCTTATGTTAACATCTTTACAAATCCTATGATTCTGAAGCGCACGGTTGAGATTAACCGAAGATCAATGTCCCAAATACAAATGTTTGACGAAGCCAAACTCACAGCTAAAACAAACCAATGTAAACAAAAATCTAATCAACGCACTAAATAACCATACAATAAGACATTCATAATTCTAAAGACATTATTAACGATACAATTGAATGGCTTATTGACGAATTTAATAAATCCACCAACAATATTTCAAAAACTAGAGTCCTGCCACAGCTTATACTTGTAGTACATGGAATTCAAGAAATAATATCTTGACACAAGAAAATATCAACATCCGCAGTTAAATCGACAATGCCCTTCTCTTACGAGGATTATAAAAAATCACCTTGACTACGTGAGTACAGCCGATTATATTATTGAAGCAGCTAATGATTACAGATTGCTAACACAAGAAATAACACAAGATGCATTAGATAATATTAGTCAAAAATATTACGATCAAAAATATATTCAGTGAATATTTTAATGGTTTACTCGGCCTTTTCAGTTCTGTTACAGAGAAAATTATGGAGGAGGCCGAGAAACAATAGAAACAATAGATGATGAAAATGAACGTTACATTAAAAATTATTTCGATAATTTGGTTAAAAACCAAAAATTTCAATTATTGGAAGCTATGATTGAATAGGTTTCTTCTACGCAACAATTGACAAACGAACAACTTGAGGCTTTAACTGAAACACTAAAGATAAACGAGGACCATTCAAAAATACCAAAAGCGTCAAAGATATCACTAAAGATAAAATAAATGCATATATCACATTACTAAGGGATAGATTTAAGGGACCTTCTGAAAAAATGAGCGATACAAAAGATCAAGTTGGTGATCAAATTACAAAGAATTATAAATTAGCACTGTGGCTATTTTAACATACCATGTATTAATATCTTATTTGCTTTTAAGACCTTTTTTTAATATAATAAGCATGAATATTTATTACGCGTGTATTAATAACATTTCGTGAAAATAAACTATTTGTCTATATAATTCTAACTGATGTTAGATAAAATAACTTTTGAACGAATCATTATTTATTTTTGTTTACCCAAAACTTGTACCCCAGAATGTTGTAAAGTATACAAGACAATTATTCGTTTAAAGGTTCATCAATTAAATAGTAAATATGCAAAGTGAAATGAACCAATTAGAAAATATTAAATGATGAGATAAAAGAATAGACAACAAACCAAATATAAACATGACCAGCTAATTGAATAGATTGAAAAAGAAAGTGTCAATGCAAAAATTGACCGTAAAAATTATCAAAGAGCAAAATAAAGAAATCCAAGAATTAGAAGCTAAATTGCAAGAAACGAAAACAGCAATGCTATCAATACAAACCAGAACGTGATGAGAGCCAAAAAACAAGGGAAAGAAATCATGAGAATTTTATTAAGCGATTGAAGGAAAGAAAGAAACGAGGACACAAGTAAATCGCAAACAATAAGATCTGGCATCTAAAGAAAATGTTTACATTCAATAGTAAATTTTTTTGCGGGTCATTGATTTGGTTTCTTTTTGGCTTCTTGCTAATGAATTAGAAAAGCAAGAACCTGAAATAAATGATTAAAACATTATTCAAGGTTGAAAGAAAAGTACACACAGAAGCTCAAGCTCAAAAGTTAGAAAACAAAAGCGAAAAATTATTGTAAGTTAGGGCTTATATTCGAATCAGATGATTCGCAATTAATTTTCGAGCATTCGAAGAAAAAAAGCATCAAGCAATATCAATAACTTTTTTAGTCGATATAATAATAATAATTGTTTTTTCTCTTGTGGTGGTAATAATAACATTAGTAGTAGAAGTGATTGATATTTTTTCCAAGTGAAACAAACGAAACAAATAAACAATAAAACAAATAAACGAATGAAACGAATAATTCAAATTAAGGTTAATATATATTATGTATTACGAATAGAAGCCCTATTGTATGTGACCGTAAAATTAAAGTGCCTAGTTGATTGGTGCATTTTAGTCAGTGACCCTATACGTAATAACATTTTTTAACCTGAATTATATTAATATATATTAATATAGTAGGACCCCGGATTATTATAATTGAGGTAACAAAACATCCATGCTAATACTACGTACGTATTAGTAAATCTTAGAGATTTTTTTACCCCTTTTAAGCATGTAAAAAAACCAAAAGCTTTCTTCACCTATATAAGACACGTAGCTTCATATGTAGCCATTGAAGAAATTATCCAATATATTTTATCTATAGAGTCAAGAAAATCATATTAATATAATTGAAATAAAACATTATTTGAAATAATAATAAAAATTTTGTCAATGATTTATTAGTAATGAGCAGGAGGGTATTAGCTTTGTTATTTTAAAATTTTGGTTTACCCATAATTTCATATAAAAATTGCTTTACCTGATTTTGGATATAAAAATTTTCCGCTATACCCCAAATAGTCACACTGCTTATTAATATTATAAAGTCTTTTGCTGAAGTTACATGAAAATTTAAAAACTATCAAAATCGGATGTTACCTCAATTATAATAATCCGGGGTTCTATTATTATTATTATAGTAGTTTTTTTCGGCCCTATTATACTAGTAGTACAATTGTGGTACTTGGCATCACTTTGTCTGCAACATTAGTCAGTCATCACAGTCATCATACAAAAATTTATTGATCAAGTTTTCTCTCGCGAAAAAATTTTCCCAAATTTTTTTTGAATTTGACAGTAAATAACATTTTAGGAAAAATAAATTATGTAAATAAATTATGGCCTCTACACCTCAAGTTGAAAAGGTTCAAAATAATTCTGCTCCAGCTTTACGAATCACAACAAAGAAAGGTACTACTAATACAGGTAAGAGAAATAGATACATACGAACACTCAAAATTAAATAAATACACTCATTATTTTTCTATTTTTAAAAAATAGCATTAGAAGAATCTTTGAAAACTTATAAATTACTAGAAGCGCTTCGTGCAGGTAAGTAAATTATTAATATTTTTCAATAATTATTAAAAAATTATATATTAAAAAATTATACTTGCTATTATTTAGACGATTTATCAAATTTACAAATAATTCTATCAACATATCAATCACATGAAGTGTCAACTCCAAATTCTGTTACTGGCAATTCATCTAATAATGGTACAACATCACCATTAATACTAGCAGTGCAATGTTCTAAAATTTCTACTATAGAATATATTTTATCTAATTTTCCAAATATTAATATTAATCAATCCGATCAATTTGGAAATACCGCATTGCACTATGCTTCTAAAAATGGCAGAATTGATGTAGTAGGACTTTTGTTGAAACAGTTAAAGATCAATGATACGATACCTAATAATTACGGCAAAACACCTGTCGAATTAGCAAAGAATCAAGAAATTATAGATTTATTTAATGGTGATTTTCTTTTAAAATTTTTAATTACATGATTTTTTTTTCCAGAAATTTCTCAATAATATATATATCCTTTCTCTCTTTTAAAAAATAGTAAACAAGCAAGAGTTTATTGAGCAAACAACAACATTATTTCATCAATATGTAACAGATTTTAATTATATAGCACTTCAATATTTATTTCAAACCCCAAGAGTCATTGCTTTAATTGATATAAATCTTCAAGATCCATCAACTGGCACAACATTGTTACATGAAGTGACCAAGAAAAAAAATTTAGAAATGGTGGAATTTTGTTTAGATCACGGTGCAGATGTAACTATTAGAGATCACAAGGGTAAAATGGCTGTTGACTTGGCCAAAGATGATAAAATTAAAAATTTACTTAAACAAGGTTAATAATTTATGTTTAATGATTTACCTTTATTTATTATTTTTATTTAAATTGTTTTATAAAAAAATATTTATTATTACTTTCCTAGTAAAACCAACACCTACTACGTTGAATATTTCTACCTCATCGAATTACCCACCAATATTAAGGGGATATCTAAACAAATGGACAAATTATGCTGGCGGATATAAGATCAGATGGTTTGTACTTGAAAATGGTAATTATATATAAAATATTGGCTAGTGAGATGTGTTTTTTTTTTAAACAAACGTAAAACTTTTCTGTTTATATAATAACAAATAATCTATTTATTATTAAGGAATACTATCATATTTTCAAAACAAAGATGATGCGGGGAATTCATGTCGCGGTTCAATTAATATGAAAATAGCAAAAGTTTCCATTGATTCAACAGATAGACAAAGATTTGATATTATAGGTAAAGGTTCAATAAGATATCATCTAAGAGCAAACAGCCCTAAAGAAGCAATGAAATGGATAACAGAATTACAACAATCGATCGAATGGGGCAAAAATCATTATAAACATGGCAATACTGACGAATCAACAGCAACTTCTCCGACATCACGTGAAATTAGCAAAGATGAAGATCATAATATAAATGAAATAGATGAACACCATCGTCATCACGATAATAATGATAATAATAATAATAACAACGACTATTATCATCATCATGAAAGTAGAAGGTCAAGATCACTTTCAGGTGATTCGATTGAAACTGATAGTGTACCACATGAGGACACATATCATATGGCCATAAGTTCGATTAGAGCGCAGCTTAACTTACAAAACCAATTATTAGAGACATTGATAGCCATGTTGCCCAAAGAATCAGATGTCATAGAAGTTTTTGAAAAATCTTTACAAACATTACAAAATTTATTAGATGATGTGTTAAGGATGTCAGAAGAGAGGGACAATTATTGGCAAAGAAAACTAAAAAAAGAATTAGAAACCAAAAGATTATGGGAAGAAAGTATGAAAGCTTTAGCGATTGAAAAAACTGAAATGGAAGAAATTATACAAAATAGTTTGAAGGAACAAAAATTAAGAAAACGCCAATTAAAAGCTGCAATGGCTTCTGAAAGTTCCATGAACTCTCCTGTTAGTCCTATGATGTCTAAATTGTCATTAATTTCCAAAGATGAAACTGATCCAAATCATGACAATAATAACGATAAAAATGAAGATCGATTGATAGATAATAATGTTAACATTAGTTCACGTACTATTAATCAAACAAACAATTTAATAGAACAAAAAATTTCGCACGAGCAACGGTCATCATTAGCAGATGAATATGATTCAGATGAAGAATTCTATGATGCAATTGATGGTGGTTCGATTATAGAAGGCCTTGAGCCAAGTATTACAACCAGTTTAAATGAAGAAAATACAATAACATCATCATCATCATCATCGTCATCAATTTCAACGGCATCTAAAGAATTTCAAAAGCCCTATATATTTGAATCATATAATGGTTACCCTAAACAAAATAGAACCAAATTTTTAATGGACAAAGACAATACAAAACCTACAGTATCATTATGGACTATATTAAAAAATTCTATTGGTAAGGATTTAAGTAAAATTACTTTACCTGTCTACTTCAATGAACCCACCTCTATGTTACAACGCATGGCTGAAGATATGGAGTATAGTGAATTATTAGATCTTGCTGCCAAACAAAAAGGCAGCACAGAACGAATATTATTCGTTGCAGCTTTTGCTATGAGTAATTATTCTAGTTCTATTGGTAGAATTGCAAAGCCATTCAATCCCTTGTTGGTATGTGTAATAATAATAATACATATATGTATGTATTTTAAGTTTTAAATATGCATAAATTTTGAAAAAAAAAACTCTATTTAATGATCACTCAATTACATAATTATATATATAGGGTGAAACATACGAATATGTTCGTCATGATAAAGCATTTCGATATGTATCTGAACAAGTCAGTCATCACCCAGTAAGTAAATGAATTTAATACATAACAAACAAACAAGCAAATATTTATTATCCATTACATATAATCTTGAATGTTTAATATAACAACACACACACATATATATATTAATTAATTAATTATTCATTTGTTATAGCCAATTAGTGCATGTTATTGTGAATCGCCTAATTACGATTTTTATGCCGAAGTGGATGTAAAATCCAAATTTTGGGGAAAATCATTTGAAATTTTACCACAAGGTGTTTCTCATGTAAAGCTTAAAGTTTTAAAAGAACACTTCCCCGCACATGTTAATAAGTCACCTGAAGATTTTCAAGCTATCGGTAACCCAAAAGCATTTTCAGAACATTATTCATGGAAAAAAGTTACTACATGCGTGAACAACTTAATAGTAGGCAAGCCATGGATTGACCATTATGGTGATATGGTTATAACAAATCATTTAACAAAAGATCAATGTATTTTGACTTTTAAAGCAAGAGGTTGGAGAGGTAGAGACGCATTTGAAATTAGAGGAATTGTTAAAGATAAAGATAATAAAGAAATTTGGGAGATAGCTGGCAGATGGAATGAAAGATTGGTTGCTAGAAGAATTGGTAATAATTTAAATTTTTCGACAAGTGAAGAAGATCTGAGTAGTGATACGGCAGCATCAAATGCTAAATTAATAGAAGAATTGTTGGGGAATTCGACATTATTACCGACAACTCAATCTTTTGCTCACTCATCATCATCAAATCTAACTACATCATTACCAACATCTCCAATTCTACCACAACGTAGACCAATTGTATTATTATGGAAAAAAACTTCAGAACCTGAAGAGCCTTTACCATTTAATTTGACACAATTTGCTATGACATTAAACGATTTACCTGAATCATTAAAAGTATGGTTGGCACCAACAGATTCAAGATTAAGGCCCGATCAAAGAGCAATGGAAACGGGTGATTACGAAATGGCAAGTTCTGAGAAGCATAGATTAGAGGAAAAACAAAGAGAAAAAAGGAAATTAAGAGAAATTAATTCAATGCCAGAATTTAAATCTAGATGGTTTGCAAAAGAACTTGACGATGATACAGGGGAGGAATATTGGAAATTTAATCATGAATATTGGAAAGAAAGAGAAAGAGTTGGTAGAGAGAAGACGGAAAATAATGGTAGTTGTAAATGGAACATTGATAACGAAGACATATTTTAATTTATTTTATTTAAATTCTTCTTTTTTATTATTATTTTTTAAAATACAAAATAAGTAAAATATAGAAAATGTTTTTAATATAAATATATATCACCAAGATTACCCAATCAACTAATTAAGATATATATAAACATATAAAATAAACATAAATCTAATTATTTTTTCTATTTTACATCATACAATTTTTAAAAGAATATGTGTGCGCGTATGTGAAAATTAAATTAAACATGCCATTCATTCCATTCTTTGACCAATTCACTAACCAACACAACAATACCGCCAGTTATCATCCCATTAACTTTTCTAGAAACTTCAGCATAAATCCAGCCAACCAATGGTAAACTTTCAAACAAATCTTTAATACTCCACATATCTTCATGTCTAACAATTTTGGTTTGTTCATTGAATTCAAACCTTGATATTATTCTCAAAGCAATTTCATTATTCGAACAATGAAACATACTTGAGTGATGAGTTCTATGCCAACCAAATGGTAAAAAATTACATATAAAAAGTGGACATGGAATTGGAGGTAATCTAATCGGAAAACGATATTTTATTACGGCATCTATCACCACTATATGATGACCACCAGTTACTGCTGAATCAGTGATACTATGAACTTCTGGTTTTATACTTTGAAAAAATGTTGATAATAAAATGAACTGATTAATTATATCCTCGTGGGTTTCAACCAATAAAAGAGGATTTTCAAAAACTAAAAAAAAAAAATGATGGAAATTAAAAGTCGATCAAAAAATAATATGAAAAATCAAAAAATAACAAATACCAGCATTTGCATCATAAAAATGCCTAATAACATTATTTTGAATATCTTTTCTCTTTGAATATAAACTGCTATGAACTCTTTTTGCGATGTCTTTTTCAGATAAATTATTATCATCTGTATTGATTGTGGTTGTTAGATACATACTATTATTTGAAGAAGTGTTGGAAGTTGGTGAGAGAGGATGTAGAGAAGTTGGGTGAAGAGTACTTGGATTATTTGAAGACGAAGAAGCTTGATCTGGATTCATTATCATTGGATCATAAATTGTTCTACTGTTGTATGAACTTTGAGTTGGAAAAGGTTGATTATAAACTTTACGAGAATTATAATGATTATAATCCATTAAAAATATGTTATTTTGAAAAAAAAAAATTTTTTTCAGGGGAATATAAAAAATTTACATGTGAAAAAATTTTTTATTGTCATAATAACGCTTAAAATTTTTTTGATGTTTTTTTCCATGATTATAATGATTATATAATCATTGATCAGACATATTAGGTAAAAAAAATAATAAATTTGTTTTTTTTTTTCGGGTATATAATAACAATTCTTCATGTTCATATTCTCAAACGGGTCAGGTATACTTTAAAGAACTAACACTCTCAAGGTGTGAAGAATTATTGCTTTAAGTCAGCAAGTTTGGCTACGAGTCGGGTGAGTCTTGTTGTAACCATTTATGAGATAGCAAGACTAACAACTAGAACACTTAAAAATTTTTTACTACAGTGGATTATTAATTATTTCTACCATTAATACTATAATAATAACACTCTGTTCCATGTGCCGCTGCATTTCCGACTATGAAGACTATTATGATGAATTATAATTTTTTTTACCATCAGTCTCTTAAATACTCGTAATAAATCTGACAAGTATACCATAGACTTCAATACTTTTTGACTCAAATTACTATATCTTTATAAAAAATAATCGTAATTGTCCTTTAGCATTTTTTTTTAACGGATAATTTTTTATTTTCCATGGTATGGGGCTGGCCTCACCTACAAGGAATGCGTTTTTTGGGGAATCCTTATAATCCCATTTCGTCAAGATTGTGAAATCAGGTTTTCTTCCATACTTTCTTTTCCTACAAATTATAAAAAAAAATTGTTTGTTAATTTGTTGATGTAAAAATCACTTTTTAGAAATATACATTTCTTTTTTCTCCTCACTACTACTTTGCTCTTTTTTTTCTTCGGCACTACTCTTTCGCAACTCCTAAAATGGTTATGAAATAAACAATAAACAGACAGATATATTACATCCCGGATTGTATGATATGGTGATACAATGACTCTGCCAACTACCCTTGTTAAGATATTTGCCCTTTTCAGAATATTTGCCATTTCTATGAAGATAAGAAGAACTAGGAAGTAATTTAGTAGCACATTTGTTAGTTACAAATATTTGGTGTGTATATATATTGAAAAATGTATAAAACTTACAAGTGGTTTTTAATTTCTTTCATATTTGATTCATATTGATTCATTTATTATTTCATTAAGATCAAGATCACTATTGTTGATTGAATTTACTAAACAACTGGTTGAATCCATTCTGATCAGTGAAGTCATTTCTCAGCCAAGGATGTGGATGAGCAGTGTCTATGATAGAGACATGATTGGATCATTATGGTCCAAGTATTCAGATGCAAATTGATTGATTATTTATTCTCTTGATCCTCATTCATATATTTGGTAGTGGAGATGATGATGATAAATTAACTTTGTTATCAATAGGGCCTAGAATTAACCTATTGTCATTTACTACTACTACCCAAGGCCGAGATGTTAATACAATAGATTAAATAATACATACGTTTATTTTAACAATCTAGAGCCTGAACTAATGATTAATTTCTAACATTGCTCTACTAATACTTACAAGGATGCTTCTGCTGCATTTGTTTTTGTTTTTCCTGATTTTTTCCTCTTTTGTCATTTTTTTACTGTCAGTTACAGTATGGGAAGAAAAATCTTGCCCCCTGTAAATTTGCAATAATTCAGCAACCATTAAATCATTCATAAAATGGCTCATTTAAATCTATAAAACATTAAAAAATTTAATAAGATATTTGTTCACCATTTCATTCAATAACTGCTTTGCAATATTTCCTCGTTGATCCAATTAAATTTTTTATAACAGAATCTGGAATACTTTCCCACTCCTCAATCATCAAATCATCAAGATTTTTTGGTTGCCATCTTTCCACATTGGTCTTGATGATATTCCATAGGTTCTCAATGGGTTGAGGTCAGGACTATTGGATGGTCAGTCAATAACCTCAGGCACATTGGCCTGAAGAAATTCCTTGGCCACATGACTAGTATGCTTAGGATCCATTGTCTTGCTGAAAGCAAAAAAGGCTTGTTTTTCCTTTCATACAAAATCCACCCCAGGCAAAAATTTTTACACAATTTTTTGGAATAGGATGAATTGGTCATGTGCCTTTATACCATTGGTGTTACTGAACAACTGGAATGCTGTTTCATCTGAAAGAAGGGTCTTATTCCGGTTGTCATCAAGATGGGCATGAGCCCATTCTTCCCATCTTTCTTTATGTGCACTGGTAAGCATTGGGGTTGCTAATGGCAAGTTATTCTTATAGCCCAAGCTACCCAGATGCTTTGAAATAGTTCTATAAGACACACCAATACCTTTTTCAGCTAATTTAACTTCCAGTTTTCAGGCAGAGAGAGGGATCCCATCTTAAATATTGGCCAATTGCAATTGATGTTCCATTGGTAATTTTTTTAGTTTAATTCCTTTATATAGAATTTGGGGCATGCTGCAACAAAACCAGACAAAGTGAACATTGGTATTACCAAAGATTTCAGGGATCAAAATTTAGTCATTTGTAATGTGATCATAATTAACAGCTTTATAATATCCCATTTGTTATTTTAAGTGATATACTAATATCATTTATATTACAAATATTAAAAATAAAACTTTTGTCTGTATTTTTATAACCACCTCCATTCCAATCAAGTGGGTTATAGCCACCAACTAATTGATCTGAATTTACTAATAGATCTGATTGTATTTTAGCAACTACAAGAGACTTGCTGATTTTGTTACATTTATCATTAAATATGATTGAATTTAAATCATCTCTACTACTATGATATAAAAGTTTGAATTTATATTTAACTTCACTGAATAAATTGTATGGTGAGCTTTTTCTATCAATCCAACTTGCAAAGAGCAAAGTAAGTTCTGGATTGATTGTTGTTGATTCTAGCATCTTTGGTGAATCTCTTGATGGTAATAAATTTAAAATCGGGTTTTGATTATGGACTAAATGATAACATAAAAGGTCATTCCATAAATTCTTAGGAAAGAATTTTTGATATGGTACAATTCCTTGAAATCATTTTTATTCCATTCTTTAATATTTTTTCTTTCCAAATTTTCCAAATTTCCAATTCCCCATTGGATTATGCAATCCCAAAAATCAATCTCCTTTATTGCAAGATCATCATTGTTTAATAATGATATTAATATTGGCTTTTCAATATTTTTGGAATAATTGGACTTTAGGAGTAATTATACATAACCAATGTTTCAAGGAAATCATTAAGCAAATTAAATGATTGATGTCTTAATGATATTTGATAAAAATAAGTAAAATTATTTTTGATCCATTCTTCTCTCTCCAAAGTTAAATCAATTAGATGATTTTGTATATAATCTGTAGTTTTAAAATCTAATTCATCAGATGCTTCAAGAAGTTCAATAGTTTCAGATGTATCTAAATTATCTAAATTGATAATTTCTGAATATATATATCTTTAAAAAAATTTTTAAAATAAATATTAATTATTTTAGAAGAAAATATAAATAACATTTTGAATAAAGGATCTATAAACAAATTAAACTTACTTTAAACTAGAGTAACAACAAGTGGCAGGCGATAACTACCACCATCCTTAAAACACTTACCCAGCAATGTTTTCTTTATTGTTACTTTTGCTTCTTTTTTTATTTTCTTTGGGCATGTTTACAAAGAAGAAAAAGAAGTTGTGATTTGATCGACACATACACATTAATTATTTATCCTATTGGTTTTTTTTTTGGGAGGACAGACGTGTATTGATTGATTTTTTTTTTTTTTTTGGAAAAACAAAAAACAATTTATTTTTTGACAGTGTCCAAGGTGACAAAACGTGAGTG